TTAATTCCACATTTTTTTAGACCACACACTTCTATCATCATATTTGGCACTTCATTATTATTACAATACCCTTGACCTCTCATATATTTCAAATATTAGCCTATTGCTGTTAAATTATCTTAGGCGTTAGCCAGAAGAAGGAAGTCGTGTAAGCTTTGCCAAAGCAACAAGCCAAGGATCCTCAAGTGCCCATTCTTAATGGACACTTGAGGTAAATTCTTAACTCAAGTGTCCATTCTTAATTTTAACTCAAAGGCTATTTTGGAAACTGAGATCTCATCTAGGGTTTGGAACTCGACTCAGAGATTAGCAACCGGTTCCTAGCCGATTCGGCTTGCTCTTCTAATGTACTCTAAATTGAGATTATTTTATTGATATAACCCGTCACGCCCAGAAGCAGGCTTTTAACAACTGTTAATAGTAATATTTATCCGCATTCAACCGTCTTCCAACATTCTCTAGCTTGACCGCTATAATATATGTTCATCCACTGTTTTGTGAATAATAGGGATAAGCATTAACCAAATAGGCGCATGTGATCTCTTCCGATAAGACAAAAAACTAGATGTTAAGAGAATTGAGAGAGTCCAAAAAACATTTCTTATTTAAGGAAACTAGAAAAAAAAATGCCACCTTTAGGTTTTATTAATTTTCAGTACATGAAAAAATTTTGGGGGCTGCATATGTCTCTTTGCAATCCCGGTTACGCCACTGCTCCAAAGGGCGGACGATAGCGTTTGTGGCCACCCCCTTTCAGAAATTTTTTTCAGTTTCCTTGTGAAGTTTAAGAGACTTTAGAGGGGAGGATCAGACAATAAAAATTATCCTAAAAACAATGGATTCCTTAAATTTTTGTGGGATGACTTATAAATATCTCATTAGACTCATTGGGCAAATAATTTTCTTTTGCTAGCCAAGAAAGATTTATAATTTTTTCTGCACCATTGTCATGAATGCATGTTTTATTTTTAATATTAAATTTAGATTTTAAAATTGTAAGGATTATGTTAATGTACCTAACAGTTAAGTTTTTAGTTAAAGTTCCTTTCCTGTCTTCCTGAATTTCAACTTACAACTTCCGGCCAGATCGCAGTTTTAGAATCACGTTTGAATGCAAATGAGGAGGAGTATTTAACCGTGAAGTTCTCCAGACTTCGTTAGAGAGAACCAGGCATTCTGGCTAGCACGCGTCCGCCTTTTTAGACTACTCTCTCTTAAGCTATTATTACGCTCGGCCGTACTTTAGGTCCTTGATAGCTTCGCCGTTATTCAGCTTTAAGGGCCGACTGGGTTCGAATCTTGCTAGCTTCGGCTATATCTTTTTATTTCAGATTAGTTAAGTTTTAGTTCTTACTTAAGTTCAAGCCCGAGTGGTGGCTTTATTATAAAACTCCAAGACGGAGTTCTGCTAAACTTTATTGGAATAATGAAGGGTAATTTCACACTTCTTACGTGTTGTCTCTATCTCACGAATTCAAGTGATTATTCGCTGACCAGTTCTCAAGATTCTTCAACTTCAACTGTAACTTAAAAGTACACAGGACAGAATCTTGCAAAGTAATTATTCTCTTGCAACATCAAAATGTAAGATCAGAAATACTTAAAACTAAATCGCTAAACTAGAAAATGTGTTATTCTTATATAAGTTTATCAAATACTCAGTGGTTTTTCAATTTATTTTTGCTGTAACTGTTTTACCACCTACCTCGGGGGTAAAGTTGAAATCTGTGAATGTCTTTTTAGTTCCTATGCTTCAGTATATTTTCATTTTTCTTCCTGACAAATATATAGACATTATGGCTGTCAGTTCTGTGATTTGAACCTTTCAGTTTAAGTATCCCAAAGTATATAAAATAGATTAATTCTGAATTTATCTGCCATCGGTGAGACCATTGCTGCCATTTGTAACGGGAGCAATTACCTGCCAGCATTTGGTTCTTTCATGCGTCACTCCGAGAAATTGCCCATTCCTTTCATTTCTTATAACTTGGAACACTATAATGGTATTTGAGCATGTTTGAGCTAAAGAGAGCTTTGTCCCATATGCATAAATCTAGTGCGGGACAAGATAGTGTCATCTATGAAGAGCTGAAGCATCTTTCCTTTAAGTCAGTGTGTTATTGAGACTAGATCAGGTAAGGTTTGTAGTGATTTGTCCTCATTTTTGCGATGAAACTATCATGTCTTATTTTTTGTCCATTTTGAATAGCACACTTAAATTCTTTACTTTCCTCTTCAATTTGAGTCGCATTATGTATACACACTTTTTGTTCTAATAAAACATTTTGAACCTTTCATTGAACTATCAATAAGTATAATATTATTTTCCAAATGAGTATATAATGGCATTAAATTCGATATAGATTCCAAAAGAATTTCCAAAAGTTTCCATGAAGAAATGAGTTCTTTGAATTTTCTTCTTTGATATTTGTTGCTAAATTTAGAATTTGAACCTCTCATAAAACAGTAGTAAGTTTCTCTTCAAAAATTTCTCTACAAAATTTTTCATGTGTGTCAAATCTTCTCTGCACCAGTATGAAGTTTTAGAAAATTTTGATAGTCTACGTTTTGGGACAATATTGCTCTGAGAATATGGGAAATGTGTACAACAAAATGTAAAACTAGAACCTGGGCTAAATAAATAAGTTATCTGCCTTCTTGATAGTTTCTCTGCATTTGCCATTTTTCTGTTATAAAATGCATTTCTCACAAATTTGCCTGGACGCATACTTTTTGACAACTTTTGTTTCCAAGTACATTCAATTTTTTGTAAACATAATTTATAATTTATTATAAATATCTTGGCGAGTCTTCTAAATATACAGGAAAGTATGCATTCTTCTTCTTTGAACATTACCTTTCAATAATTCTTCATTCACAAATTCTCCTTTAAGGTCTGAATTATTAAAAAATACTGATTACTTTTGATAATTAATAACATTTGTTTTTCATTTCATTGTTATGTATGATTCAAGTATCTCATTTTTAATAATTACTGGCGATTATTATTGTAATTGACTTCAGTCTAAGTCACATGTACCTTTTAGTTTCTTGACAACAAAAAGTGAACAAAAAGTATTTTCGTTTCTGAAACTTTTCTATTTAATCTTGTCTGCATTAAAGTAACCGAATGCTTACTCTGTAATATTTAAATAAAACTATATCTTTTAAAACTATTAAACATTTGTAGATTTTTTGTCTTTATATTATAAAACAGAACAGTGTATACTACAAATAATATAAATCATTGAAATTATAGAGATCATTATCTGTTAATTTTTCAGCTACATTCTAAGAGTTCTCTTTCAAGTTTGGGAGATGTGGCATATGGTGAATTTTTAAATCCAAAAAATACACAATCGTCAGTGCATTTCAACTCAGAGTGAATTAGTATGGAACAGGATCTATGAATTGCTAAGTTTTGATGCATACTAAACATGATGCGCGGTAAACCTCAGTTTCATAATTAAGATGCTTTAAATATGGTTTATGTGATTACTTCTTTCCTATTTCATTATTTTTTAAATTATTTCTTCATAGACTAATTGATTTAATAAAATTTTGTAAAAATTGATAATGATTGTAAATGGTCAATAAGCTTCCCTTTTTGGGTGGCGCCTGATTTTGCCGCCCCAGGTTTTGCGCGTCAAATTATCTCTCGAATATTATTGACGTATGCTTTTAGTAGCACTGGAATCGGGAAGGTATGCATTCATGGTGTGCAGGCTTAAGAGGACCTTCTTCAGACAACAATGAGGGAAGACCGAAGTGCAGACTGATTTACACAGACTGCCCATCAGTTCTGATTGTCGGTATTCAGCAAGCAGTGATTCTCTCCTAGCCGCATCCTATTAGAATTAGTACCATTAGCAAACGAATGCATGCCATAGAAATGTAGACCTTTACCATGATTGCCCTGACAGCACACACTGAGGAAGGCACCTTGAACTCGTGCTGAATCGACAACAGGTAGATTTTCGCGGTCAAGTTAGATTACTTGAATATGACAAAATGCCCAAGAGGAGGAAGAATGAGTAAAGGAAAGGATGCTTTCGAGGAGGATTTTTTAAAGGAAAAACTATGCTTTCATGCATTTCGGTCAATACTGAATGTATCATAATTGCACGAAAATCACGAAAGCTAGCCATGAAGCCAGCCCGTTCACTTGGGATGGAACTTCTGTCAAACTTCCGTATTCCGCGGTCTTAAACTTTTGTCCAGCTCGTGGGATCTAATCGTTAGTGACGAGTCTGGCTATTGTCTTGGTGCAGAGGAAAAAACTTATTCGAAAGCGGAGGCAACGTGATCGGCGCCAAGATAGAATTTTGTTGTTATGCATCCAGACAGATATGTGTCATTCTGTGGGACACGATTTTGTACGGTGCGCGATTCCCGTTGGTCTTCATTATACACTTTGACAGACCAGTGATACTTATTGAGATCCACTGACCAGTGGACCTGCCATTTACAAATGCTCGCTTCTGTACTCTATTCCAACTGGATAACGTTAGCCTTCCTGCTATTGGCACCTTAAGCCATAGACACTCTCTGTGAGCAGCTGTAACGTTAGACCAGTCCTCCAACAGAGAAACCTCTGGAATGCTCTATGCCGTTTATCAAGACTGCATCTCTGCCACAAAATCTGCAAGAACAACAAGACAGACTGCAAGCTACCTGTGATGAGCTAATGCAGGATTATATTTACGGCTCCATGACGCAACATCTGGTAGAATTCATAAGAAGTAATGACTGGTTAATGTCCTGTTGAGAGTTACAATGTTTTTGTAATTTGTGCATTAAATATTTGTCATAATACCCTCGTGTTTTAATCATTCATTGTGGTTGATGGCACTGATTGTTTTTCCAAATAATAATATTTTAGCCTGATACTTCCTTCCAAGTGCAACCATTCTTTTGCTTTAAGGATATGTCTGTAGACGGAGTGAATCACTAAACCCATGAGCTAATAAACTCAGAATACTTATTTTCTCTTATTTCAGGATTCGCCATGCCTGCGGGAGATGACTTTATACCAAAATGCTTGAAACTCAGCGTTTTCTTCATCAATTGCGTTTACTGGGTAAGTTTTATTAGCATGCATTGCACAGATTTATAAGTTTTCGAAACATCAAACATGAAAAACAACCGCACCTACACCAGGATTCTGACTACGGATTTTTCAGCTTCTAGCTGAGCTCGTAAACTACTTACACTACTGTCACAAAGAGTGTATTACTAATTTTCACATTTAATTGCATTATGTTCACTTAATATATAATACTTATTAATCATAAAATGAGTGAAATGAAAAGTGGATAAAATTTTAATACGAAAGAAGATTTGAAAAAAAAAAAAAAATACCTAACTTGATATTTATTAGTCAGTTTTTTAGTAATTGTTTTTTTATTATTCAATCAGTTTTTTAGCATCTTACATCAATTCATCGAAACTAACATATCTCAATAATTTATGGACTGTGTATCAGTAATTTTACATCATACACGAACACATATAGTTTCAAATCGGTGCCTAATTTAAAGAAATTTATTCCGATGCAGCATACAGATATAAAAAAATAGAATGGTGTTTTTAAATACTCTACCATTTCTTACTTGATAAAACCGGAACGTATTTATTTTGCATAATTTTTTAAAGTAAAATAAGTTGATCTATCAATTCCCATATTATCTCTTTAAGCATTTAACAGAAGGATATTACTTAAATGTCGGCTATATGACATTGCAGAACGTTAGTAATACCAAATTTTTATGACCAAAGGGCATAAAAGAAATGGTGAAAAGTGAAATACTGGACAAAAAGAGCAGAACTAGTTTCAAAAACTTTTCTCAAAATGTAGCATCCATTTTTCAAACCATTTACATATATATAACGCAGCAAAAAGCAATTTTCTTTTTCTTATGCCTTTCCTCTAAGAAAATTTCTTGAAAATGTTTAAATTACGGAGCTCAAAATTTAGATCTCTGTTTCATTTTTAGTTATTTTTCTATTTCTCTCATATTATTTTTTTTATTTTGAACACACACGATCTCCCCGTGCACCATAAATGTACAACATAGGGCTTACAAAAGTAAGTTAATTAAATCACAAATATTACACCCGTAAATAAAATGAATAAAAACAGAGAACTGCAGTCTAGAATTCACGAAAAAAGATAAGTTCACTAGCCAAGTCACGCCAAGCTTTTTCAAATCGTTCTGCAAGCATAATATAGGGCCATCGAAGGAAGGACAGGAAAAACTTTAAATGCTCTACATCTTGAGGTAATTTTTTTTAACATTCACGTAACTTATTTGATCTTAGATTAAAACCAAACAGGTAACTTGCAAATTTACAGTGACCAGGTAAAACCTGAGATGCTTTAAAGTTAATAAACAGGAAAAACTCTGAATGCAGTTTACGGTAAATAGAAGGTAATAACCTTTTGGTGCACCCAGCACAACAAGATAAAATATATTCTTCATTACACTGAGATAAAACTTCTTATTACAAAAGAACTTCCAATAACTCTTTGGAATGCTAATATTGATATCTGTACAAAGAATTTGAAGTATCTTTAGCTAAGAAATCAGCTCTTTCATTTCCATAGAATCCATACTGACCACACACATAAGCAAAACGGACATCAGTTCCCTTATTTATAACCAGAGTTTCGATTAATAGTTTGTCGCTTCTATTAATACTGTTCAGAAGATGACGAGAAGAAAGAGAATCAGAATATATAATGTGCCCTAAGGATGCTGTCCTATTATCCTTGTTCACTTGACGACAAGATAAATACAGAGAAGGTCCTCTAGAAAAACTGTGCATTCATTTCGAATACGATGCTTAAAATAGCCTATCTTAGATTGGTCTTCAAAAAAACAATGTTAGACCAATATTATTGTTAATGTTATTGCCATCTGTAAAGCAAATCATATGAAAACACTTTTCATTAGTCCATTTATAAGCGGAGAAATTTATGGGCTCTAAAGCAATTGGATGAGGAATATTGGGGAAGGGGGAATTTCCATTTATGCAGTCTTCCAAAGTATCAATTGTCAATGTCTCGAAAATATTATTCCTGTATTGTGTTTCAAAATCAATAGGCCGAAGACCTGAAAAGCAAACGTAGCCTTATAACTTAGTGTTCTGTAGCCACTAATAATACGAAGAATTCTCCGTTGAGTATTTCTCAGATTTCTTTTGTTGACATTCTTTGCAAGAACGTGTCTTCAAACGCGACAGCAATACAAAATGAAAGGCACAATACATTGCTTATATATCAGTTTCATTTTTATGCTGGAGATGTATAAAACGCGCAATGCCCTTGCTGAGATTCGAACTCGTTAATACTCCTTAATACTCGTCGAGTGTGTTCCAGTTACCCTAACGCATATAGAAAGGAGGGAGAAAATACCTTACAACTTCACAGCTTACTCGAAGAGTAGTTTTGGCAGTTCGATGAAAACTATTAATAATCTTTACACAATCTAGTACAAAGAAATTCAGTATGCTTTTTTCCACGTTAAACTTTGATCAAGTATGACGCCAAGATGCTTAACACTTTCTACAAATTACAAGAATGAATCATCAAGTATCAAAAGAGCAGTATTTTGTTCATCAGAATTTCTGGAAACAATCATACTTTTACTTTTTGGAGGATTGAAAGTGAGTTTCTAAGAGATCCTCCAACTGGAAACAAATAAAAGGGACTGGACTCGAAAGTTAGTCAAAATGTTTCCTTGAAAAATTAAAAGTAAGTCGTCTGCAAATGCAATTTTTAAACCAACCGTCGAGATGACTTAAAGATCATTTATGATTGTGTTTCAAAGAATAGGACCGGGCACAAAGCTTTGAGTGTAGCCTTTTTCCAAAGAGTAAACCGTACTTTCGGAACTCAGCGATCCTTCCGCTTAAGAAGCTTGTAAGCAGATTATAAATATTATGTGGTATTCTAGCATCTTTCAGAATTTTTAAGATATGAAACTAAGCCACTAGACATTATCAAAGCACCTTTGATATCCAGAAAAATAAGAGCTGTTGTAAACTTCATTGGCTTTCTATAATGCAAGATATTACTAAGGCGAATAAGGGTATCTTCAGTAGATTTCTGAGAAGTAAGCCCGAACTGATGATCCCCCCCCGAAAAAAAACATTCCTATCCCAAATACCAATTTATTCTATTAATGAAGAGAGTTTTAAGACAGTTTCTCAAAGTAGATAATAGGCTAATGCATCTAATATTGCCTTCAGATTCTTGCATCTGAAGTTTTAGGGATCAAATTAATAAATGTTTGAAGATTTCTAAATCTTTTACTCTTCATAGGAAAATTATCACCAGATTACTTTACGGAATAATTGAGCAATCACTCTCAGTTCTATAGGTCAATCAAGGAGAAGTATTATAATTACTACTCTTAACAGACGAGGTCGTTCATTAGAGAGCTATAAGAAATATTAGGTCATCCCACAGGTAATGTCGATTTTTGAAGTAGGTTTTGAAGAAAAAGAATCAATGAGATATTAATTTAGTCAACTATATATTCCCCATCTGAGTCAATAACATTCTTTCAGAGACATAATAGGTTTTTTTATTACATTTATAAAGAAATTAAGCGTTTATTGGAAAAATAGTCTTGAAGGGCCATTTCAAGCACTCATGGAATTTTTTTTTCCTGTTTTAAAAATGAATTTTGGAAACTTCGAACCACCAGTCACAATATGGTTGAAAAAAAAATTTTACCACTTAAAGCTCAGTAAATGTTCGCACGTTCTCCTTGATTAACGTCAGTAAGTTGGTATGAAACTAACCTGTCAAGCTTAGAGACGATTCCCAATTTTTACAAATGGCGACGGACAGTTGATGGTGATGAATTAATCACTTCCACCAACCCTTCAACATTTGGATTTCTTTCAATACATGCAGCTTTCAACACAACATCATTAAAAAGACAGGGCAGCCACAGGAGCAGCCATCTTTCAAGGTACGATCGCTTAAGTCAAAATTTATAGAACTGTACTTATGAGTATTCAGAACAACTTTATTATAAATACTGCATTGTTACCTTTTTAATACTCGGAACTATTAAAATAATAAATTCGTAGCCGCGTGCTTACCAACCGCGATTTATCTGAATGAATTTGTCTTTGTTGAGTGGTAACAGTAGGACTTTTATAGGAAATTTTTTTATCCTCATTTTGCAAATTAACGAGTTAAATTATTAAATTGTATTTCTCTATATGTGAATAGATTTTAAATTTTTTTAATAATTCTTATGGAAAGTTTTATACGGTAGTATATGCTTTATGGAAATATATGATTCAGTATCAAGTTTCGGTTAAGAAGCCCTTTGTTTTTATTACACAAAGGATATATTTAATATTTTCGATTAAATTAATAATGCTTTTTCTTTCAGTTTCTTGGAGTGGTGACTATAGTAATCGGAGCTCTTGTCCACGTTATTCAAATACAACCGGTGCTACGCTTGGTTGATCCAAATCCTAATCCTTCCATTCTTATGATAATGCTCGGTGGAATTCTATTTGTGATGGCCATCTTTGGATGCATTGGGACACTCAGAGAAAATGTTTGCTTGTTGAGATGGGTAATTTAAATTTTAGAAGCAGCTCATAAATTAGAGCTTAAAGAATTTGTTTTTATCCGAATGTATTTTAGAACAGTTTCAAATTACGCGTAAAATTATTACACGTTGTTTATTCGACAGAACTTAGTATGTGAGAATTTAAGATATAATAGAGTGCCTTTCAAGGATTCGACAGGTTAGTGTTGCAGAAAGACAGAAATAACAGAAATGCAAAAGTAATCTTGTTAACTTGCAAATATAACGCATGAGTTCTTGTTTCTTTTCCGAAATTGTAAATAAATTGACTACCCATTACTTGTGACTATATGTTAAAGCTAAATACCTCACAAGATGTGCAAGATTACTGCTAAAATTTAAAAAATGATTAGGAAATAAGTCGAAATAAAGGACTCCCTTGTGTACCTTTGCACGCTTGTAAACTGTGTATAGAAGTTCAGGATGTAAAGAGTTAATTACTGAAAACGGGAGTAAGCCCATATTTCAAATTAATAGCCTGTTTTTTATTAGTAATAGAAATTTCAGGAATCCTGAAGATCTACAATTGCCTATTATAAAATTAAACAATGCAAAATATTTATGAAATCGAGGAAACAAGAAACCATTCCGCTGAGTATGGGATTTATGGAGCCATACCTGGCTATTGTGGATATTCGCATATCCGTTCAAACAAAAACAAACTGTGTCTAACCACACAATTAGCCACTTACACGCAGCATAGAATTCCAATAAGGAAAGACCATTAAACATTAAGGACTGGGTAAGGTTATTTCCTTTGGGCAAAGAATGCGAAGGCTAATTTTCTGAGCTCCATCTCAGTTTTGATAGATAATAACCCAAGAATGTAATGTGAAGCCCCTTTCCTTATTACAAGGCTTGAGTATTTTTGGATTGACATGTTATAAGTGGCCCTATGTCGCAAAGACACTACAGTCACAAATTTCTATTCCTTACTCGATGTTCGAGTCTGAACCAAATTATGAAAGAACCAGCTACCTTTCGGTATCTATTATCGAAGGGTAGTTGAATATCTTGAACCATTACTACCATACGGTCATTCATGTCTAGAGGGGTCCTCCTTTATAAGGTCCTATTACCCTTCCAGTATCCTTTGTTTCACCCGAGAGGGCCAAAGAACATTCAATAGAATTCCAGTAGACTTCCAAAGCTCTTTGGATGGAATTCCTTGAATGAGTAAAAGTGCAGATTGGTTCTGCGCATCACTTGATATGAAGTAAAGTTCTTTAATTCTTGGAACCAATGCTATGTTCATGGCATGCTCAGGCATGGTTATTGCAATTGTCCTCGCTCGTTGTCAGTTGAGTTTGCGATCTGTAAGTCGCGAAGATCTTTTCAAAACGTTTTGAAATTAAACAAACTTATTTATAAAATCGCACATAGAGTTATTGGACCATGTCAGTATTTGCTCAAGCAACGAAAAAGGAAGGCATTATTAGCATCCCAGCTTCACAAGCAAAACAACAAAGAAATCTATCTGTTATATGGTTTCAAAATTAGAATGAAGCAAGCTCTCTCGCTCTTTTTTTAAACAGCTTCTGGCATAAGATGAGTTTTATGCTACAAAGTTATTATAAAAATATTAATGTCTTACAAAGTCCAAAGCTGAGTTATGAAACAAGTTTTCTCTTCGGTTATTGCTATTATATGAAAGATAATATGTATAGTAAGTTCCGCAGTATTTAGTTTGCTGTATGGCGTTCGTTTTGCCTTAAGGAGGTTGGTAAATAACTGGTTAATATTGGGTTAATAACTCTGCATTTACATGTATGTGTTTCTTACAGATTCAATGAAAAATAAGTCTGTTAGCTTTACGCTTCCCTGGGAATTTATGCAGAAAGTTTGCTCCGTTTTAATATGTAAGAATGATTCCTGAATAGACGATTTCAATAACAGCCTTCCTAAGTACTTGATGTTTTTTTATTAAATCGCAGTATTTCACAAATCAGTTAACTAGTTAGCTATTGTCAGAAAAGACGAGGTGGAAATCAAGTTCTAAGTTGAAGTCAACCAATGGCCGAGTATGCTGGTAGTCGAGAAATGCTGGTAGTTCCTTTCGTGCTGTTTTTCAGACAGTTGAACGGGCTAGCTATATGAGGTTTTCGCATGTATTAACGCAAATAAGAGCAGATTACAGTTAAAAATTCTTCTACGAAGGCATCCCTCCCCATAAACAGATATTTTCATGGCACTTTGCTATAATCTGAATGCCAATCGAATTCGAAGTTAGAAGCAAAAACGTAAATATTCTTCAAGAAGTTAAATCAGTAAAGTGAACTGATTTAAAGAAAAAAAAACCTCTTGACTAAATACGCCTAAAATACTCGTTTAGTACTTTTGAGCTGAACGTTATAGTATAGGCATAAAGTCCCGGTCATATAGACATGAGTGCCGTTAGCTTCCATTGGTAGTGCAGGAAACAACACATGCCATCATCAGTAAAAGTGTGAAAGCATTTGCAATAATTTCGAACAGTGGCGCAGAAGGCAAAGGCTGTTTTACTACAACTGGCTAGACACGTTCAGCTTAACGCAGAGATCGGGAATGACCAAAACCCGTCGGTCATTTAGCCGTCTCATCATCGAGAATGTCGCCAAAGGCGTATAATAGTGCATGGATGAATTTTCTCTACAAAAACGGGGTTCCAATTTTGACGGAGAACATACCTTTTATTCTACTGGAAGAACAGATCGGTTCCGAGGATGTCCCACTCCTCTTCTCGTCTTACCAAAAGTATTGAGAAGATTTTTGGCTCCTCAGTATAAAGTGCTCTCATACCCCACACTGACAAACATATAAAGCTTCAAGACTTTTGGTTCCCCAGTATTTTAAGTGTCCTCACACTCCATACTTACAAACATCCAAAGCTTCCCCCGGATAAGGCAGCCGTAATCATTAACCAATATACTGATTAGGGCAGCTGTATATACAGGGTGTATCAGTATAGGTGAGGTGACAGGTGAGAGCAGGGTTCGGTCATCCGGACGGCTTTCTCTGACTATTCGGGTATCGTCCGAATTCCGCAACTGTCCGGAAAATGACTATTGCAGACAGGGGCAGATGATGGAAGACAGGCGTATTGCGGATTCCTACAATACCAATGCTTATTATACAATATATGACAATATAAAGATACTTACATCAAAAAGTGATGTTACTATGTTGAATTACCACAATAGTAATACATCGTTTTACATTATACATTAATAGTGCACTATTATAATAGTCGACGCAGCGACGATAAATTAATACATACAATAACAATATTTCCAGAACTCTGCAGACATTGCAGAGCGGTATCAATGCGCATTGTATAACCTATAACTATATATATTATACATTAATATTACATGTATGCTTGCAATACATTAATACATAGATAACATAATACATTATACGTTAATAGTGCACTCGATATATTAAAACATACAATAAAAAAGTACCTAAACTCTACACTCTGTGTCTGGAAAAGGTACTGGATCAGCATTTGTGGTTTATTATTTTAAGTTTTCGAAACTGATCACGAGAAAATTAAATTAAAATTTCTATAATTCAATATGTCAAGCTTAACTCGTAGCATTATTAACACTTAAACGGATAAAAAAAGGGAAACTGACATTTAATTGTAATATTAATATTAGTATATACGGATTGCTTATCTGAGCTTGAATCCATTGCTGATTCTGAATCTAATAATGGCTTAGTTGTGACGATTAAAGATATTTATAAACCTTTCTTCTTTACATATGTTAAGATTCCGTCGGGTTAAAGCCCATACTGGGATACGAGGCATCAAGAGGGCTGACATACTGGTCAATAAAGCCGCTTTGGATAGTTTCGGAATTGTGTTCGATGTCCAGGCTTCTAAAAAATACTGATTGAACAGTATGAAAATCTATTTTCATAATTGTTGGAAACAAAATTGGGTAATTTACTAGGAAAAAAAGATTGTTGAATAAATTTTGAGGTAAAGAAACAAATAGGTGTAAAAACTTCTATAAACTTAAATCATCACGGAGCACGGGCGCTTTCCGATTTATTAAAGGAGAATTTAAATTGATTATTATAAGTCTGAATATTCGTTGATTATTGCAGATTTTAAATGATATTAGAAGGAAATTTGAATGTAAAAGTGTTTTGTTACTATTGTTTTATTTAAGATTCTAGCTAAATTAACTTTACTTTTCTGGCTAGATCCTTATTTGAATAGTAAAGCGAATATTCGCTAAGTTCAAACAGTATCAATGACAAGACGTTTGAAGGCTGAAAAGACCCTTTTATTCAACTCAAAAAGAAGTTTACAGGCGGCAGTTCTGGTGCTTAAAAATCTTAGCCAATGTTTTGGGCTGAAACTCAAAATAGAAATATAAAAATAAAACTAAGTTAAATAATCAGCCGAAGCTGCAGACAGGGGGCTCTTAGCCCTATCACCGACGTACACAAACTGAAAATTCATATGCATAGCCGTAAAAGTACAAGCTTCAGTCATCGAAAAAACGTGGGCTAACGGCAGAACACGCTGTGTCTGAAGCAACTCAGACACCAGCTTAAATAGTATCTTTGCACCTTACTTTGCATAACACGCGAAACTGAAATATTATTCTGGCAGGATATAAAAATTGGGGAAGATAGAAAAGATAAATGATTGAACAAAACTGGTTAATTTTAAAAAAGTAAATGATTCTTTGCAAAATAATAAAGTCCTAATGCAAGAGAAATAATGCATAAAATTAACAACACTAGAGAAGTCCTAGGGATATTTATTTGATTTTGTTGGTTTATTTTGTAGATGAATTTTATTTTAATGATTATTTTATTATTATTAATTATGCAAATTTATTTAATGATTGCAATTTTTTTTATTATGTGTAATGATTTTAGGGAGTTTTAAATAACTTCTGACTTTGTATAGTTTGATTTTTGGTATTCATGTTTTGTGCTTTGTGGCAGTTGTTCTGAGTTGCGGAATGTTAGGGTTTTTATTTAATTTTTAATTTGTTTATTTACTAACCTATTGTTTTTAACAGTTTGCTTATTTTATGTTTTTCTTATTTTTCTTTTTGTTCCGTTAAAAAGTCCAGCAGTAATGTGCTCCAATGATAATATTTTTATGATTTCTTTTTGGTTTTGCTTTACTAATTTTTCAGTCACTCGGCCCTCAAAGCTTAATTCCCCACGGTGCGTACTTAATATTTTAAATCTTTACAAGTTTTTCATGGTAGGTTATTGTCTGGGAGCCTTGTTCCTGACATTGTCGCTGGACGTCTTCATTTGTGAGTTTTTCATGGTGATACTTGGAGTATCATATGGCAGAAGAAATCGGCTAAATAGAACCGATCAGGGAGACTAGGCAAATGCCATTTTCAGAAATGAACGTACGATTTATTGCAGCTTCCATTACCTCAATATCGGTTCCTATGTAAGGAGAAGACAGCGTGTTTTTGAAGAAACTGTGCACGATTCATTTTATGTTTTGATATAAGCCAGAATGACAGTAGCACATCTATTTGGTAAGTATTCTTTTATTGGTTTTCTTACGCATGTTAGTTATCTCGAAAGATTCAATGCCCTGGGCATTTCACAACAGCAAACTGAGAGAAAGAGGATGTGATATTAGCCCACTTTGAGTTACCTGTTCGATGCCTCAGAACGAAGTCTTTTCTAATCTCTCGATCTGACGAGAATCGTACGATTATCCATCTGCACTTTCCTTGCTTCCAAGAAGTCTCGATATCGGATAGCTAATCCTGAGATTTCATCAAAGACTATGTGCATAGACACCTCTATTTAACAGACGATGAACTTAAAAATGGCTTGAAAGCTTCCAAAAAGGGACCTCACGAACGTTGAATAGAGCGACATAAGCCACCAGCGCAGTCAGCTGTACGGAGAACCATGGAGGAACATATACTGAAAATTTGGGTACATTGTGCGATGCACGTACTATACGAATCTGTGGATATATCGACCTTTATGCTCACTCAGTATTTTGATACATGGAGTTATGGTATTTGGGGATATAAGCTAGATAATTTCAGATCTCGACACAAAACTATGGTATTAATTAAATGTCAGTTTTTAGGATGCGTACGGAAAAGCGCTGAATTTAGTGCAATTTCCCTAATTGCCACTAAAATTTATCCCTTAGGTCATGAATATTCGTGCCGTATCTAAGTTTTTAAAAGGTATTCAAATACCTTAAATTGCAATGCACATAAAATTTTCTACACTATAATACTGTAATTAATTATATTTAAAAATTAATTTTTGCATAACGTTATATCTGTAAGAAGGAAAGGAGTTAGATTCCATATTTAATTCCATTTCGTTGCTTAATAATTGTGAATAGAAATATTAAAACTTTCGTTCAATAAATGAATATATTTTAATAACAGTTTCATTTCTCTAGTATCTCGTCTTCTTACTTGCCTTGCTGGTTCTGCATCTAGCCATGGGAGTAGTTTCTTTCATCTTTATTTCTAGAAGACACATAAAAAATAATACTGCAGATGATGCGTTTCGCCAAGCGATACTCAACTATCAAGACGATGACAGTACAGCTGACTTCATTGATTATATCCAAACTACGGTATCGTAATACTCTTAAAAGTTTTTTTTTCAGTTGCATCCGCATATGAAAACTTCCCATCTTGTTTTCCCTGTTTTTGAATAATAAGGGCGGTCAACAAAAATGAACCAGAGATTTTTATAAAACGAAATGATATAATTTTTTTTTTACAAAAATATGTACTGTTATTATTTAGACGTTCGGTCCAATAGGATACAAACGACAGCTTTCTAGTAAAAAATTTTCAATAGTTTTCTGGTAAATATCTTTAAGTTACGTTTGCTGGTAGTGCACTTAGTTGAAATGATTTCCGTTCACTATACGATAGGAATCATAGCCTTTGCAAAGCTTTCTTCAGAAAACTTTCTGTATTATTACATGTCTTTGAAAATTTTATCTATTATTTCATGTCAGTCTTTCTGAGCGACCTCCATGACTTTGCAAGAATGGCTCTGTGACGTGCTTTTGTACACCATAACGTTCCCGTGTACCAAAGATAACCTTCCTTTCTATTCTTATTTACCCTTTTGAGTGTATAGCTTTGTCATCCACTATCTGTCCCTTCTGTCATCAAAAAATGCTTTACTCCGAGTTGTTCTTTCGATGCTTTCTCTTCTTATCTCCTAGTACGCTTGTAGAATAATGATGGTGCAGACAGCTCATATGGTTAGTTGGTCACCTTCTGCTTACGTGGACTTACAGTTAGCTTCTTTTGATGTCCGATGAATGTATTAGAATTCCATCTGGATTGTAATTACTTTTTAAACACTTATGCAGCTTTTCTTGAAACAGCAGTTTCTTCTAATGGCCTTCAGCTTGCTTTTTATTGAATGCTCCTCAAGAAACCGCTACGTAGTTTTCATTGCCAAGCTTATTTAAGTATTCCGTGACGTAAATTTTTAGTTGCTGCACCATGAGAAACATGTTGCAATCAGCTCAGTATACTTTGCTATAGAGCATGCAAAATATGTATTTTATAAATATGACAGTTGTATAATTACTTTTACTTGTCGACTATGTCTAAGAGATACAGAGATACCGAACTACATGCTTGTATCTAAAGGTGAGTCTTATTTCTTCTTTCTACGTGGAACTTTGTAGAGACATTAGGTATTTTTTGGAAGCAGGCAAGATGAAAAATTAGCAACTCCTTCGCCGGTAATCGAACCAATTACACACTGAGCGTGCAGACCACTACACTACGAAGGCCCGCTAGGAAGGAGGGAGACATACCTTATATACTTCCTCCTTTTAAGGGCGACTAGGATTTTAGGGGACCCAATCGCCAAACTCTGGGTGTGGAGAATCATCACCCAACACCCTTTTTAGTTCAGGTGCCACTGTAGAGACGTTAGATTATTATTATTATTATTATTATTATTATTTTGAAGCAGGCAAGATGAAAAATAGCAAACGCCTTTGCCGGGAATCGAACCACGGACCTCTGGAATGCCGGCCCAACGTGAAGACCACTACACCACGAAGGCAAGCTAGGAAAGCGGGAGAAATACTGTATAACTTAAACAGGCATTGTAGAGACATTAGGTATTAACATTGTAGAGACATTAGGTTACTTTTTAAAGCAACAAAGATTGAAAAATTTGCAACGTCTTCGCTGGGAATCGCCTCTCAATAACGCGCTGAGCGTGCAGCCCATTACACCACGAAGGCTCGCTAAGAAGGCGGGAGAAATATCTAATAACATATGGAAGTAGTGTATTATGTTATTCTGCAATGGAATCTGTGTGCAGATTAGTTAGTAGGAATTTATTTTGATCTTTGCGGGAAGGCTCATCACATCAGATATTTGAGATATATTCTTCACCAATGAAAAATTGTTACAAAATTGTAGGTGCGCTTAAAACGGAAAATTAAAAAAAGATTTCCAATTATCATGTTTTCCAAGATTGATGGGGATTCGGTTTTAAACTATTATCTTATTTATTTACTGAGAAACAAATGGATTACGAGATGGACATCAATTGATTCATAGTTCCTCCTTTAATAAATCTCCAGACGGTAACTACTTCAAATGAAAAGTTTATAGCTAAAGACTACATCTTGATTGCAAGAGGTCTCCTAGCCATGCTGACATCTTACAAATTTTTTAATTATACAACAAACGTTATGATATTAGTTATTTATATGGACATTTGTATATGTAGGGAGTAACAGATATGATAGTAAAAAATATAAGAAGTGACTGAATAACCCAAAATTAATTTTCGTGGCACAGTGTGTGGTGGGACGGGAAATTTGAAAACAAAAACATAGTACAAAGAACGCAAAAAACGAAACGTAGTTTCAATCAAGGATATTTACCAGAAAACGCGTTTGATATCTACAGCAATCATTGAAATGAACGATCCAAACTTGCAGTAAATGCATCACAACGACGAGGACATCGTTTTCGAAAGGCAGATTAAATCTCCTCAAGATCTGGTTGCCAAGAATTTGCCTCTTTGCTGTAGAAGTACGCGACATGCTGAGCAGCTTCCAAAGTGTAATCCACTTTACTTCGCTGTGATGTATGTATCGCAGTTAAGGGTTGTTCATTTGATATTTCCTGCAAATATGAAATATTATTTCTCGTAAATGTCTGTGCCCGAAACGATTTTTCCGTTATCCATATTCTCCATATTTAGTGCGTTTCTGTTTTCACATTTCATATTCCACTGCACATCAAATTTCAGAAACTGTTAATTTTGTCATGTTCTATCACCCTTTAAAGTAGGAGTCCTCATTTCGTTTTAACCTTGTAAGGGTGAAAACACGCAAGGAAGGTTTGCATAAAACCTTCATCGCGCTTATACTTTTAAAAATTAGTTTAGCGAAGAATTACAAAAGGTAGTTATTTGACTCTGTTTATTGTTCTAAGATTATTTATGTAATTTGGTATGTTCAGTGTATTACATTATTTCCCCATGAAATCCAGTGTACCATGTAATTCCCCATGTAATTACATACTCAAATGAAATTTCTTCTAGCTTCAGTGTTGCGGTTCAAACGAATATAAGGACTGGGCACTAAATCCTTACTTCAGATGCGTCGAGGATAACATCAATACAGAAAAATGCAGTGTACCCCCTTCTTGCTGCAAATTTGTCGAGGTAAAACTTTCTTTTTTGATATAATGACTTTAGATACGCGCAATTTTGTCATTAAAGCGTTAATTTACGAAATGGATCATACACTCAGAAATGATGATGAATTTAGAAAATTGGATTCTAACTAAGTAAGTTACCAAGTAAGTTACTTACACATATAATGAACAGAACACAAACTCTAAAATTTTCTTATTAACATAGGATAGTTTATATCATAACAAAATTAGTAACTATGAATAAAAGAAGTCCACTATGAAGAGCAGAGGAATTTAAGTGTAGTTAAAAACAGAGAAAGTTTTCAGAAAACGAAATTTTCGAACAAAAAGTAGCATAAAATAGTAGCACGTTATTCGATTTTGTGGTTAGTATTTTGAAATTTAAACGTTATTGCGAGCTTTCAGTTTCAAACAACAAAATTTAGCGAGTAAAAGTTTCTAAACTTTTTTGAAATATTTAGTTGTTTTCACGAGGCATATTAACTGTAGCAGAACGCTGTGATGTAGCAGAACGCTTTAAAAGGCTTCGCTTTCCAACTTTAAACTTATCTTAAGAATAATAAGCTTCCAGAGGTAATATTTGATTTTTAAATTTTTTATTGTAGGCTTTAAATGGACAGGATCATATGAAAACAAAGGAAAAATTATCGAATATATGTCTTCTGTTAAAATAAAAGGATAGATTATATTCTCGTGCTTCTCGATTAAGGTTTATAGAAATATTCAGCTTTTCAAAGCGGAAAACAAAAAATCAATTGCACTTTCAGCGGGAATCGAAGTACGGATTGTTTTCGTCCTCCGGATGTGCTAATCACTACAACACCCGAGGAAGTCCGCACATGGGGAACAGCAAAGTTCCTTAGAGCTTTGTGAAAAAACGTGTTCCCAAGTAAAACATGCTACTGCATAAAGCGGGATTCAGTATTTAGACTTCGGTTTCAATAAAATGCCTCAAATTTTAAGAAAAATACTCGAATATCTCTTGACGATATTATACTTGTTCAGCAATTTTTAACTGGTTTCAACCCTGGATAATATCTTCAATATAAATTATTGTATATACATCTTCGATATAATTTACTGTATATATATATATATATACCCTCGACATATTTTGCGATAATAATTCGATATAATAACGGTAGCACACTTGGCCCGTATTCGAGAGGTTTATTACAATTTTATTACAGTTGGTATGCTGAAGTAGTTTCACGCAACCAATTTATAATTTTTTTCAAGAACTAATAATTCATTCTTAATATTTTCTCGAATTTTAATTTCTTTTAAATGATAACCTGACGATCTGAAGTTTAATAAATAACTGACGTTTAATAAAGTTTAACCTGACGTTTAATAAGTAAATTAATTAAAACAAAATTATTTGTCATTTTAAATTTATGCAAATAATATTATGATTTGCCTGCATGCCAATAAAGAAACCTGACAATGTTTTCTAGAACACGCACGAGAAGGAAAAAGTATGTTTTTCACGATATTCTGCATAGATATGCTCATCATTTAATCTATTAACATCAAAAATATTTTTCTAAACTAATATTTACTTTTCATTACACGCACACCCAAACATTCCGTTCTTCAGTTTGTAAAATGCCCCTCAATATTATCTCTGTCTTTAAAAGGAAGCATCTCAGTCAATTTGCGTTATATGAGAGTAAAATCTTTGTATTTTATAATGAGCACAAAATTTTCCTAAGTATAGATGTAAGGACTGGGGTGGGGACTTACATTTAAAAAGTAAGATTTCGGAATTTAAAAATATATATATATATTTAAATTACAGAATGCCAAAACATGAATATTTGCGTCATGTAAAGTATTTTCGTATTTAGAAACATACGTCTGCAAACAACGGTAGCCAAAATAAAGGTTGTTAGTTTATCTCTGTTCAATGGCCATAATTATTTTGAATTTTTTGTTTCTCCTTTTGAATGTTTTTGGTCTTTTACAATAATTTTTCAGTTTTTGCATTTTGTATTTGGAGTTTTGGAATGCACCTGCACAAGTTTTTGAAAAAAAAAGTTTTCCTTTTCCTAGGAAATGGTTGTTTCTTTTTTTTATATATACAGTAAATTTTATTGCTTACTATGTAGCTTCAGGGCAGGTTTTAGGCTTTTTTTCACATGCTTTGAGAACTTTATATCTTAGAATTAATTTAAAACTGATACCGCTGGAAGACTACTAACTTCCCAAATCAGAAGAAGCATATTTCACAGTAGAACATGAAAAAATATTTTCTTTCGTATTTTTATATAAGAATCTTATACTCTTTTATAAGGTGATAAAAGTTTAATCGTTTTCTATTTTAATTTTTTCTGCAGAGTGAATCAATCAACACGATGTGCGGCTATGGTGTTTTGAATGATTCTGCATTGTCTCAGGTGATGCATTTTTTTATCGTTATTATTATATCTTTTCATGTACTTTCATGTAAATCTTTGCCCTTTCAAAAAATAACTCAGTAAATTTGCACTAAAATCTAATTTGACTTATTTAATTAGAAAATTAAAAAAATATTTTGTATTCTTGAAATTATCCATTGATGTTTAAAGGTAATTGTATATTCAAGAAGAAAAACCTGTAGCAAATGTAGGTACACTATGTGCCATCAGAAGCTTAGCATAGAATTCAGACAATTCGAGAATAAAAGGGAGCAGCTTAACCACATTTTTTATTCACATTACATCAATATGCATCCTAATGCTTTGCACCTTTAAACACATCCGCATAGCTTCTGGAAATCGTCTGGATACATTCATTACCTTAATTTAGATCTCCACAACAGCTCGCCGATGATCGTTGTCTAAGTAAGACCATTCAAAGGTACGGAAGATAATCTCAAAATATCCAGTCCGGTGATTAAGGTGAAATGTAAAATATATGTATACATCTGTTGTGCAGAAGAAATTTCGTCTTATTGTTCAGTCTCTGAAGCCTGCTGCGTACTAGCTGCGTAAGATGAACCAAAAAATTCCATTTAAATTTCCCTTCAGAGTAGGACACGTCTTAAAGAACGTAATATTAGTTGAGGAAGCAATATAAGTTGTGATCATTTCCACTAGGTACTTTCTGGCAGCTTTGGTGAAACTGGTGAAGGAGTTTCCGTCTCACAATTTGAAGACGAACTATGTACATCTACTTCAGTTACCACTGTTGAAAATATATAAGATTTTTTTTTTTTTCAGAATACAATCATTATCGGAAGCACTTTCCTTTGTTTTCTAACTAAAGTAATGAAGCACGTTTATTTTCTGTCTTTAGGACAGTCTTTCTGCTTTCATAATGATAGCAGAATTTTTTTTTCGCCATAGCACGTGTAGTGATAAATTTATCCAGTAAACGCTAATTTTTTTCCGTTAAAATTTTAACAAGATGAATGACCTAAATTTTAACAAAAGGAGTAATCAGAAGTATTTCGTTCCATTTTACATCATTTTTTTAAAAATTTTAATATTAATATATTATTATTTCGATGGGATTTTTAATACCAATAAGTAATTAATTGTTTATCTAAAAGATCTAATAACAGAAGGATGTTTTAGAAGATATTATCGGTTAATTCGTAGGCATGTATTAAAGTATATTTTTCTTGACTATACTTTTATTAACAGAGGGCCTACTCTTCTAATTCATCATAAGCCCATGACGTGAAAATGTTTTTCTTTTCTAATATTTGTTTCTGTTTTTCCTTTTCTTACTTGCATTACTATAATGCTTTCAGAATCTAAAATTAGAAAATTACTTACTATAAATTCACCTTTTGGGAGATTTCAAACTTTCTTTCGCCGCTAATGCCAAACAGCGTCTACTTTTACCTTTTGAATTGCTGTCCTATGCTCTTTTGTTTTATAGGTAGTGAGTTCAAAAATTAATGTTCTCTGTAAATTTTTATTACATTTTGTTAATTATTACATTTTAATTTAAATTTTAATATTAGTAAATAGTGTGGTTGTATACTTTAAATTATTCATTGTTTTTTGAAGGTAGCAATTTGAATTTTAATATTAGTTTCATATTAGTAAATAGTTTGGGGTTTACAAGGGCGTAAAATTAGTAGAAATATCTGCTACCCCTGGCAGCTAAAACAGCCCTTACCCTTTTGCTTTTTTGGACATTTAATTTATTTCATTTGGATTTGTTTTTGTATATATTTATTTCATATGAAGTGAGAGCTGCTGCGTCGGGGAGGCGCTCTGAGTTTTCGGGTGAGCTATTAGGATTAAATAATTTAAGGTGGTTCATCAGCTAATTTTGGGTGAACAGAAGCGCAGTGGTTTTCCTGGGAGAAGGGATTCAATTGAATCTGATCTACCTTCTCTTAACAACGTTGAATCAGATTTTAATTATATTTATGTTCCTATTTTATATATTTTTATAAATTTATCTGGTTTGGGGGAATTCTTCTGGTTTATATATGGTCACTGCCGTTAGACATCTCCTTGCATAAAAGTGCCAAAATATTCTGTACATTTGGTCTGGCTCGTTGCAGATCTGCAATAGTATGCTTTTAATGGTTGAGATCTTAGCATAATACTATCTCATTTCAAAAGTTTTAATTTAATTATGTTTACACCAGTCTTCATTACTTAGTATGAATCCATAACGTCTTTAACAAAGCTAACGTGTGATTATCTACCTTTAGGTTTTGGCCCATTAATGCAACTTTTATTACAAAATTTTCTCTGTTAGTTGAAAGTCTCGACACAGTTAACTTTGCACTTCCCACTGCACCTTGAAATACGAAGACTGATTCAGTGATATTGCGACCTCGTCTAGGCAATGACATTCGGCGAATCAAGCTACGTTACTACACATAGGCCTATTTTGACAACAATAGCAAAGTTAAGCGTCAAAAGTGCACTACTGGCCGTTAAAATTGCAACACCATGAAGGAAAGAAAATAAAAAAAGATATTTATTGTATGTAAACAGCATGACATGAAGACAAAATTATGAAATTTGTAAGCAGTTTGGAGGTTTACAGGGGTGCGAAATTAGTAGAAACAGCTGCACCCCTGGCAGCTAAAATAGCACTTACTCGGGTATGCAAGGAGGCGAACTGGATTGGATGACAGAAACGGGCAACTCATTCCATGCTGTTTCAACTCTATGTCACATTTCACGAACCGTATTAGCTGCAGAGGAGTGGCGAGCCAGTCTCTCAGTAACCCATGACCAGATGTTTTCAGTGGGTGACAGATCTGGAGACCGTGCAGGCCAGAGCAGCAATAGAATACCCTGTGTATCGAGAAAGGTCAAAACAGGACGTGTAACATGTGGTCTTGCATTATCTTATTGGAAAATGACGTTTGGCAGGCCTCGAAGATAGGGCACAACCACTGGACGTAATATTTCAGAAATGTACCCATCTGCGTTCAAATTACCATCGATCCGAACTAGAGATGTTCGTGTCGTATACCAAACGGCTGCCCAAACCATCTCACCAGATGCAGGGCACCTATGCCGATATCGAATGCGAGCAGGCGACGTGCGGTCTCCTTGGAGTTCCACACACGTATACGGCCATCAGAATACTGCACGCAGAGCCGGGACTCGTCTGAAAAGACGACATTGTGCCACTCCTCTACCCAGCTTTCTCGTTCGGCGCACCAGAGTCGCCGTCTCTCTTTAAGCTGCATTGTCAAGGAAAGCCGAAGTAATGGTTACCGTGCTGATAGTCCACGCTGTTGCAAACTTCGACGCACCGTACCGACGGATACTGGGCGGGCTACAAACATGCCCATTTCCTGACTAATGGTCCGCGATGTGGTTGTACGGTTTAGCAGGGCTGACGTCACAGTATGTCTGTCCTTTCGGGCGTTAGTCATGGGAGGACATAGCGATCCTGCATGCTGTTCAGTATGACCCTCAGCAGCACATTGTTTCCATACTCGCATGACAGTGGTTGCATGTCGACCAGTGCGACGGGCGATATCATGGAACGATAATCCGCACTCTCGATAGGCAACAATCCTGCCTCTATCAAACTCCGACACTTGCTGGTAAGCATTTCTTATTATTATTCGAGACATAACACGATATTTTGAACAAACTCCGATATTACAAAGCGCTTACCGAATGAGAAATCCACTACATAACTTTTCTTTTATGCAGTGCTTCAGATGTCGTTTCTCCCTCCCGCATCGTCTAAATGCACTGAAATACTAATCATTTGCATATCCCAACCTCGTCTTCCTTTTGTGTGATTTTGACGTTCAGATCAGATCTTTCCTTCCTGTTGTTTCAGTTTTAATGGCCAACAGTGCAAAAAGCTAAGATCAGAATAATTAGTTCTTATCGATATCACGGATATTATGCAGCAGGAAATTGTCGGAAGAATACATATTATTTGTAGAGTTCACTTGATTAACTCTTGTGTGAGATTTGTAAAAGTAGTAACTGCACAGAAGAAGAGTTAAAAGTACCCTTTATTAACTTTTTAAAATTTACAATGCGTCAACCCGACGCTAGCACACTACGCCTCTGCTTGGGAGGTAACTGAAATCAAGGAATTAACTAAAGATTTGAAGATATGTACAAGTTGTAGAGACATTACGTATTTTTTGGAAGCAGGGAAGATGAAAAATGAGCAATCGCCTTCGCCGGGAATCGAACCACGGACCTCTGGAACAGCGGCCTAGCGTGCAGAACCACTACACCACGAAGGTATGCTAGGAAGGTGGAAGAAACACCTTATAAAGTAGTAGAACTAACTTACAGGGCTTAGATAATTCCTGTTTCTTAAACCCCCGTTGAAAACTAGTAGCAGCAAGTAAAGGAAGTTAAGCCACGCGAACCAGCAATAACTCTCGGAGCAGACGCTTACGCAACAGAGTTAACAGCAATAGCCTAACTCTCTCTTTCCTACTGACCCTCGGTTTTTAAACTCTTTCTTCAAGGTATAATTTGCATTCGTTCACGCGCGCTACCAAATTTAAATATTCTGGCATTGAGAATTAGGGGAATAGCTTATGGGAAAGAATAACAAATTAAATAAAATTGGTTATTTAAAATAAATATAAATCCACCTTTCAAATGGCGCATTTTGTCAACAATAATAAAGTAAGGCAATAACAAACAAACAAACAAAACAAAACAAAACAAAACAACACAAAACAAAACAAAACAAAACAAAAAACCTAAGACCATGATAATTTACTTTTATCGGTATCAAAGATTATGTGCACCATTAAGTTTTCCCTCAAGTCAGCAGAAATATTTGCCAGCTTCCTTATTAAACGTGTGTGCAATGCACTAACACTCATCTTCCCGACTTGTGTACCATGGACTGCTTTGCGTGGCAATGCAAGATTACGCACAGTTCTAATTGTAATACCGTGTTTCATTAAAAAGTCATCGCTTTGTTCCCATGTCCTTTCTACTCAGATGATCTATCGCTATAAGATTGATTTTTATGTTTCGCCTCCATGCCTGAGAGAAACATTAAAAAGAGAACAACATAAGAATACCGAGCTACTTAGGCTAAGGACTGAACTCATTATTGAAAAATGACACTATCCAGCTGTTCTAAAACTTACAGAAATCCTCAAAACAGAGTCCCGTAAACAGAGGTGGAAAGGACTGTTGGTTTGTATATTTTACAAACTTAAATCTCGGAAATTTTGGAGCAAGTGCTGCATTTCCTTTACTAATGCTGAATAAAAATTCAGCAAAAATAAATAAAGTAAAAAAACGATTTCGACGTAACATTTGTCTTGTTTCAAAGGCACAACTCATTATATCAGTTTCAGCATGTAAATCTCTCACAGCGATATTAATGAGTGTATTTTCCCATTTAATAGCCTGAAATACGCAGCTTAGTGTACCGAAAAGGCTGCATTACAAGGGTTGACGAAAACATCCAATGTGCTGCAGTTGTGCTTGGCTTTGCTGCATTTAGTATATCAGTGCCTTTGGTAAGTATTCTAATTTTATAAAAAAATGCATAAATTCCATGAAAGATCCTATTTTAATTCATGAGTCATTTCAGGTTCATTTAAAAATTTTCAATTTCTACTTAAGTACTGTTGTAAAATGAAATTGGGTTTCTTGAGAAACCTGCCCTGTCGATTTGAAACTTCAGACAAGTGGCACAAGAAGTAGAATTTGAATAAAATACAACAGCAGTTCTCTAATATTATGCTGCTCGATAAGCCACGATTTCGGATATTAGTAAATGCCGCATAATCAATGAGCAAATCTAAAGCTGAGCAACAAAACCAGCAGCAAGTAGAAAAGCATTAAACAAGTAAATAATTTACCTAAACCTTTCAAGATTAACATCCTTTCTCTGTAAGAACACATTTTTAAATAACTTGTTAACCTCAACAAAATTATAAAAAAGCCTGATCTTAAAGACCTGAATTTGGAAATGGCTAACGTAGATTGTTAGAAACAATCTGCGAGACTATATTATATCCTAAACAATTCTTCGCTTACTTTAACATTCAAATGCTTTTTAATTTTTCAAAGAGCTGTAATATGCACTACTAATTACCATTTGATTTCTTTCTCTTTATGTTCGATATTTCTATTAGAATAAAATTAACCTACACTGAATTTTCAATAAATGAGCAGTTAACTCACACAGATTTTTATAATTCTAAAATTGCTGAATAAACTAGTTCTTTTTTCTTATGTCATGTCACTGTTGGAATTATTGATCAGGAAAACCTTCATTTACAATACCATGCTAGTCATTTTTGTAATACTTACTGGGATTATGGCCCTGCCGCATTCTTTTCAGAACAAGAAGGAACCTTAAATTTGAGATTTAATCTGATTCAAAAATAAAAGATGTCAGTTAAAACTTGCTGCTAAATAGCTCTATACAATCCAGAAAAGATAAATAAATATTAAGATTTCATTCGCAAGCAAAACATTATCAGATAGAATTAGACAGCAGTTTGAAAGTTTGGAAAGTAATACCACAGTGCAATATCTCCAAAACTGCTTGTCTACAGTAATTCAGCTAATAGAATTATATACGTTTATATAATTTCTAATGAATTCATTTCATTTTTTTAATACTCTTCATTCCTTTTCTATGTGTGTGTAAGTGTGGTACTTTACTTTCTACAATTTCATTATTTTCTTTAGAATGCTTCGTGAGTGATAAAATTGTTTTCTTTTTAATCATGTTAATGATCTTAATCTTTTTAATCATGTTAATGTTAATGATCTTGCCGTTTTTCTTTACATAGAAGTAAGCCATTATCATAGCTGAATTTACGATTCTCAAATTCTTATTTCGATTCGATTACAGAAATCTAGCTGTTTGCAGAATACATTACTGTTTCGATTATGGATTCAGTGAACCTCATTTCTGATATATATTAAATCGACAGTTAATTATTGGTTTCAACAAGAAGAGTGCATTGTTTCTACAGGACAAAAATGACTATACTGTGATGCATACAAAAGACGATTTTCACTTCTACCCATTCTGGAGCCTTTTCAGAGGTTAAATGTATTCTTTCCTGTTCATTTCCTATAAATCTTCTAGCCGCCAAATTTGAAATTTTACCTAAAAGCTGAAATTGTTACGAAAACAAGCTCATCCTCTTCTGTGGCGTTTCGACAATCGACGGTCATTACATACAGATAACAAAGGGTCTTTTCCTTCTAAATTTTTGTTAGCAAAGCCCCTTTTTCAATAATAAGGAGCAGTAATTGTTTGTTTTATGATTTAGATTTAACTATAAATATATATAATGGAATTCGTAAAATACTCGTTAGGGAGTAGTACTCTTTTAGCATATTAAGTTTCCAATTATTAACATCGGAGTAAATATTACTTATGGAAATATATCGCCTTATTAACATAGTGGTAGACCAGCCAGATGCCCTAGAATCGAGCCCGAGATCGAATCCTACCGAAGGCATGTGTGTTTGTAAATGCGTAGTGTCTTTGCAGATCGGAGGTCTCTTAAAATAGTGTCACACTAAAAGTCCTTTCGGGGGTTGGTGGTAGGAAAAGAGAGGTAAGTGGACTTTGCTTCTGTTCCCCAGGGTGTTCTTCTTCAGAAGTGGGTCGTAGTGAACGAAGGGTTTGTGCCAATCCCAACAAATACCTTAAACAGCGAGTGTGTCAGTAATTTGGAACAACAAAAATTTATAAGATTATTTAATTCAAATAAACTATGAGCATTTTTAAGCATTTTCATATAAGTAAGAAAAAGTTTAAATACAAAACAATCGAACATAATCACTATATTCTCTACAATAAAATTAAAAAATAATAGAAGTTTAATTTTCATATAATATGGCTTTTTTTAGTAGCATAGAACTCCTGCATGAGTATCTTCCACTGATGGGGCAGTATAAGTTCTGACATTTTACTGCAATTTTCAGTTAATCTTAGCATTATCGCTTTGATAAAATCTGCGAGGGGCTTTTGTGAATTGAGCAAACGGATTGCTTTCATTAAAAGTATTCTCTGTTGACATCTTAACAACTCAAAACTCACCAGATGGAAGCTAAATATTCAGTTATTTTACAGTTACATAATAAGTTAATACAGTTATTTATATTATATACAGACAAGGGTTATTTTTATAAAATGATTTTAATTCACAGTAAGGAAAGACATTAATAAAATTAAACAATTCAAAAACGTTATTGTCTTTTGACAAATTAAGCAATGCATAATAATGAAAAATGCGAAGACGAGAAAATACTTTTCCAGTTAACCGATTAAATCGTATGATTTAGCTTTAAGAGCCTGTTAAAATTTATCTTGAAATCTTATTTACCTAGTTTTAAATATCTGATGAGAAATGAAACACATTCTACTTTTCATTCTAAGAATCTAAATTTTATGTAATTCTTTGCTATTCCAACATTGTTGTAGTGCATAGTCATACTCGGATTATTTAGTAAATGAACTCTTTTTATTTACTTCTAGCTCTCTGGTATTATATTAGCAACTCGTATGATCAAGTCCCTTGAAGAAAGCATTAAAGAATACTGCAGGACCAGAAGACAACGGGATAGAATAATTAACATCGTTCCAAACACAAGAGTTTATCATATACCTGACCCTCCGACCGAACAGAAACCTAATTCATATGCTGCTATCTCAGCCTCATTATAATTTTCATCAAGGCTTATTTTTTATGGATTTAAAAGGCATTTAACCCACTGTAAATGGAGTTATTAAACAAATGCATGCAATGATAAATGAAAATAAATGATCTTTGAGCATATGTTCTAGCAATTTCATTTAATCATATCAACGATAAAGACAATATTTTTCAAGTCGCTTATTTTGAGACCTCTCTAATCTCCGCCAAAATTAGAACAAACTCATTTAGTTCAATGTACTTAATTGGAAAGCTACATACAGGCTATTGAAATACATAAATTTTGTATGCTAAAATGCTATTTGCAGTGATACCTTCTCATTAAAACTCAGAGAGGGTTTAGTGCTAAACTGAAAAAATTCTCAGTTGCTGTTCCGAAGGAAATTCTGAAAATTCGTCATATGTGGCTTTAATACTTTAGCTTTAAACTGGCAAACCATTTGATAAGGAATTTTGGCACATTACTGAGAAAATACTTATTTTGTGAAATTACAGTTACCTAGGTGGATAAAAGCATTTCTGAATTGATACACTTCTAAAAGGAAAAGAGAATATTTTAATGAATTCTTTTTTAAATATAATCTTTTAGTACTTCGGTATACTTTTTAGATAGTTTAATAAGCAACTAGTCCGTCCCTGGCAAAGTATCCTAAAGGTTTGTCTTCGGTGTTCCAAAACATCTATATTTACGCCATCATCATGATTAAATATCTTTCCTCGAAAGTCAAATTTCAGTTTGAGAAACAGATAATAATCATTTGGAGCTAAATATGAGCTGTAATGAGGGAGTGATCAACATCCTTAACCTTTTGATCATCAACGAGTTCAGCTCGCTTCCAGTTAAGCGCAAACGAACGCAGCTCGCATTAAAAATTTGCGACTGACAGATATCGTGCATATTTGAGAACAAGGAATTGCTTAATCTCGCAACTGCCAATGGGTTAAACCTACATTTCTTTAGTACTATTTTTGCAACGACAGCTGAATGGACCTGAGTATTAACATGGAAAAGGTGGCTCAACATTTCATTCCTTTTTCTCTAATCTCATTGTGCAAGATATGCGAAAGCTTGCACAAAAGGTTTCTTCTTTTAAAATCTATCAGAAGAATGCTTTGATAGTCTGCAAAAATTGTGGCCATAATTTGTTTCATAAACTGCTGACCTTTTGCTTATCTTGGGGGGGGGGGGGGGCGCTTTACCAGGCTTCTCTCGACCACTGATTCGCTCTTTCGATAGAGGATCATAGTTTGATTGAGGATCACCATTATGAAGGACTATAGTTTCATCAGCAGTTAATATCAACTGTAAAAAATATCTATGATTTGCACTTGCAGAGATTTGTTCATGCGAAGGTATTCAATGCTGCTGCTTCTTTGAGAAAAGTAGTATTTCCTGATGTCAATGCCTCCAATAGCCAACTTCCACGAGAATAATTTGCCGGTTCTCGCGCCCATGCCAGATTGTTTTATATATTCTTTCATTGTAGAAAAGAAAGGACTCAAATCAGCATGCACATGATCCAAATATTATTTTATGTTTGGGAACAAGATCTTCTTTCTAGTCAAACATTTAAACCGAAACGATACTAAATTTTAAATATTTTACTACAAATTAGCACATCGCTTTCTTCAGTAAACAGTCAAAATACAGCACATATAATTTTGAGAACGAAACTTTCAAATTTATTCATTTAGTATTGTCACTACATATCTACTAAATTACTAAAGGAAATTTTTACATGCAAAGCCGAAAACGTTTTGGTTCTACCTAAGTAAAATCAGTAAAAAGAAGCGGAGGGCAGTTCTATATTTGCCATTCTATTCGACCGATGGACGAAATTCTATTTACGTTTTTCATGTCACGAAAACGCAGCTTGAGATATATATTAAATTTATATACAGCTCTGTTCTAACATATGCATTTTGATATAAAATCAGAATCAGCCTTTTTCTGAACTTAAAAAAATTTTTTTTTTTTTTTTTTTTTCCGTATTTTGATCCTACGCCACTGAATTTGTCAAAGTACCAAGTTTTGAGAAAACTAGCACTCAAAATTTTAACTCTGGAATGTTAACTGAATTTGGTATATATTTAATAATGTCGCTATTTCTATTAAACTTACTTGAATTAGTCGTTCATTATTTAGAATTTAAATTTTATCTAAATAAAATCCCCCCTTTTCCTAATTTGTTTTCAAATTGTGTATTTGTAAGTAATTTTTATAAAATTGGCGAAAAAAATAATTTTATGAGTTATGTAGAGACATTAGGTAATTTTTGTAAGCAGGAAAGATAAAAATATACAACGCCTTCGCCGGAAATCGCACCGCGGACCTCTCAATTACGCGCTGAGCGTGCAGACCACTACACCACGAAGGCTCGCTAAGAAGGCGGAAAAAATACCTTATAGTTATAACTTCGAAAATTTTTAGCACAATCTTAAAAGTAGACATATTTTTATGCTGTAATGAAGATCTGCTGTAAGAGATCTCTCCATTTTTGAACGAACAACCAACTTTATTAGCTAGAACTTACAGAATAACTGAGAAACATTTTAAGCGCGTGTATCGTCTGCACGGATATTCTTTGCGAGCGGTTTCATTACATTTCTTAGGGGAATTATGTTGGTAGCGTAGCAACGCAAATACGTTACAGTCTTAAATTCCTTCCCGCGCGGGGAACTTTTCGAAGAAAAGTTTTTCTTTCAATTTGATGGAACTTTCAAGAAACATTTTGAGTTTAAATACATTTTTTTTTTTTTTTTTTTTTTTTTTTTGCAAGATAAAGATGTTTAAGCATATTTGTAACAAATACAATTAGATACCTGACCAAATGAGTACAAGTGCTTTCAAAGAGGCATTTTAAATAAAGATATAAAATGTAATATTCTAATATTACAAAAATTTAAACAATGAAGTTTTAAACTTCCTAGAATGTATGTTTTTAATTGTGAAATGTTTGGATACAACAACTTAAACTTGTCAGCATTTTGATGGTGCTCTCCTTTTCTATGCGCAACTTCATAGTTAAAATTTTGTAAGATCATAGTTGAAATGTTGTAAGCCCATCGTAATAGTGGAATAATGTTGGTAGGGCTAAGACCTCTACCGTGCGAAACGATAAGACTTTCACCGATCGAAAGAGGTAGAAGCCCCTCCTTCGAACCGCCCATATTTTGACGTCAAACGATATTACAACCACCAATGAGAAGACTTCTTGAAGACTTGTTAAATCGTAACTTTAATTTATTTTTTGTAAACATGTTTGTAAACAACGTATGTTTTTCCATCTCTTTTTAAAATAAGCGCTCATCTCAGATAACTTCTCGTCAGTTAGAGATATTAGTGTCTTTCGTTGAAAAGCACCACGAAAGATAATAACATCACACACATGCATATATATATATATATGTATTATAATTTAGATTGCTATTATTCATTTCCATCATGACTTTTCTTTCAAGAAATTTAGGATCATTAAATAACTAAATCAAATTTTGTGTCATCTTGTTCATCTGATGTTCTTTAGGCAGTTTTAAATTTTTTAATCTAAGATGTAGAAAATTTGTTTTACGTATTTATTATTTTTTTACAGTTTATCATTCAATTGAAAATCTGGCTGATACGCACAAAATTTTTTTATTTAGATCAGGTTAATTAGGTCAGTGAATTTAGGTCAGGTTTATACACTTTTTGGTTAATTAAAAATATTTACATATTTTTAGAAATCTCAGCATGGAAATTAGATTATTTATAGTTTTCATGAACAGCAATAACTTACAGCACAATCTGAAGATATATTCCAATAATTTATATATAATTTGAATGACTAGTAGCAGGCTAAAAAAATCATATCATTTAATTATGAATTCCTAAATTGAAATGCAAGTTTTACATGTAAGGCAACTTTAAATATTCTGTTGTGGGTTGTTTGCTGGATTGCCAGATACTCTGAATGTATTTGTGTTCAACAGAATGATTTATGCGTTTGGAAAAAAATAGAAGCAGATTTTCAAGTAATATATTATTGGACTTGGCAAATGTGAAAAAGGATGTTAAATGAAAACATACTGAGGAAACAAGAAAATATTAAATACTGAAGAAATAAAAAAATTAGAGTAATTGTTAAAAGATAAAGTATGTTTTTTAAATACTTTAAAAAATAACTCAATAAAAAGTTTTCAAGGCATATCATTTTAGTTTAGTTCTTTTTCTATTAAAGTAGCTAACATAAGGATTATTTCATTTACATATATCTCATTAATATGTAAAAAATATAGATTAAGTAAGTTTTATGTGCATATAGAAATGAGGAAAAAAGGCCACAAATTAAAACTTGTTTTAAAGCAATAAGTAAATAAACAAAATACGATGATTCTATTAACACCTCAAAAAAGTACCGCTATATAGTTTAAAACCAAATCCCAAATATCGCATCATGATACATAAAACTCTTACAAAAGAAGAAATATGTGATTAGGAATATACTCTTTTTATTTATTTGATAACAAAGAAGAGTAAAACATATATGCAACATCACATCATGAAATGATGTGATGTTGCATATATGTTTATGTATGATGTTGCATATATAAAATATATGCAACATCACATCATGAAAAATCCTGCAAGTCATTTCAATACTATAAGACATTGATTAGTAAGGTAAACAACAGTTGAACATTCTTTCACAGTAGCAAAACATTTTTCCTTCAAAATTCTTGATAATATGCCAAAATGAGATTTACTACTGGTGCCTCTTAAGGTCACACAAAAGTAAATTTGATTTAGCAGACCATGAGAACTTCCATGACAAATTTATGAGCTATGCTGTAGAGACATAAGGCTTTTTTTTTGGAAGCAAGAGAGATAGAAAAATTAACAACGCCTTCGCCGGGAATCGACACACGGACCTCTGGAATGCGCGCCTAGCGTGCAGACCACCACACAAGAAAGGCATACCAAGAAGGCGGGAGAAATACCTTATGAGCAAATTGACCTTCCATTTATGAGCAAATTGACTTTCTTCAAAATGTACCTGCAAATTTAACAAAAGCGTGCATGAAATTTAACTTAAACATTTAAAGCACTAGTATTTAATTACAGTTACAGGTATTAAATGAAT